AAGTTCTTCAAATTCTGATTTTTGTTTTTATATAACTTAATGCTAAAACTCGGCGTCTGTTGGTATTTTTTCATTTTATTTTAACATTAGTATGTTTTTTTTTATAGAAAAATTGCAAAAATACCATTTTTATGTGCATATTTGTAAAAATGCCACTTAGAGGTATTCATTTGCAAAAATACCACTAATTATAGATTTTTAAATCCTATATCTTAAAATTTTAAACACTAAAAAATGTTTTGATCCCTAAACCCCCTAAACCCTCGTAACTAAACCCTAATACAACATAATTAACCCTACCATAAATAATATAAAGAAAAAATAATTTTGAAAAAATGGTATTTTTGTAAAGATTTCAAAAGTGTGGCATTTTTGTAAAGTGTCATTTGAAAAGTGACATTTTTAAAAATTTCTCTTTTCTTTTTCTTTAATAAACCGTGGAAATTCCACTTTTTCTATAATTAATTTTAATATTCAGGGTCAACCATTTATAAAATCGTGTTTGAAACATAAATTACCTTTTTCAATTAATAAAATGTAATTAGTTACAATGATTATAATTTCTGCTTAATTATCATTACTTACGAGGATTATATGTATATTTGTTTTAAGTTTTCTGTATGTATTTGGTTGTTAATGATAATACCAGTTGGAAAAAAAAAATTCATTAAGCTTTCAATGGATTTTTTTTTTTTGTTAACCTAAAAATTATCTCGTTTCTGCTTGCTAATGGGATTTCATGTTCAATTCGATCGATCGTCCATGTTTGAGAATACAAACAGAATATTAATAAATTAAAAACTCATGAAACAAGATCACGAGTTTTTAACATAATATGCTTGTAATAGTAAAAACAGCTCAAATGGTTAAATTGTCTATAGTTGACCCTCCCAACAAGGGTTCAAATCCTTCCCCATACAAGTAAAATTTAATTTGAAAAGGTTCAAAAAAAAAACATAATATACTTGTTAATAAAGGAGGAAAAACAAACATTCAATTTTTATATTTTGCCCGATTTAAACGTATGACATGATTTTATTCTTCACGAATTCAAAATGGTTCGTCTCTAGAGATCTGTTTAGTACTAAATTTCCACTCATCCGTAATTATATGATCACCTTTGGACTTACCTTGACTGAGGGATTTCAAAGTACTTAAAATACTTACTCTTTCTATATATAAATATTTAGGTATAAGAAATTGTTAGCTAGAGAAAAAAATTAGGGCATTTACTAAATATAAAATGCAAATATTGACCAGTATAACAGTTTACAGGGCCCTTATTCGTAGATGGAATTATGTGGATTTTGTAGATTTTGAAAATTCTGAGATTTTATAAATTTTGATGAATTATCATTGATTCTTAAAAGATATTCCTATGATTGTTATTGATTTGTCATAGATTGATATGGATTTATATTAACCATTTTCTATATAA